TCAACTTGTAACTACGCTCATATTTATTTTCACAGACCATAATTTTATTGAAGGCTTCTGGATCTTTTGTTATTTAACTTGCCAGAAAAATGAACCATGAAGTTTCATGTATATGTAAAAAGGTTGATCCAAGATGCATGAAGAATATTTGTAAGACTAAAATTTGATTTAACAATAACAAGAAACCAGAAAGGCCCAGTTTCATCAGAGTAACCAAGTACAAAAAGTGACGAATGTTTGCGTGTGGGTGGTGAGGTTGCATTGTTTGGTATCTGCGTATGTGCGACGTTTGCACACATCCAAATGCCACTGCCTATAACTGTCTGTGTGAGGAAAGAAAAGCTGGGGGAGCTGAAACTGTAGAGCAGAGTGGGGAAATAGAGCAGAAGAATACAAGCCCAACATAAAGAAATCTTGAATAATTCTGCCCTAAGACGTGTGAAGGCTGCGAAGAGCAGAAGGGAGCATCCAGAGGTCGTTTCCATGGCAACCTTTGCCCTGGGAGATCACTGACCCTCCTGCCATGTTGTACAAGCGGGGCACAGATTGTAGGTCACATATGGCACCAGCGATCCAATCAAACCTAATCTGGCTTGACTTGTGGGTTATAAATTATATTGGAAAGCTGGTTTACACTCAGGCTTAGCTCATCTGTACGCTCATGTGTATGATAATGTCTCTGTTAATGGCAAACTGGTGCAGTGACCCACTAAATACTTATGTCAACACGTAATTTTTTTGCCTGTTGATAAGGGGGTGAAAATCAGCTCAAGGATTCAGCTGCTAAGCATAGACTGAAAAACAAAAAGATGAATTAGTCCAGATGAATTCCTTTTATAAGTAGGTCTGCGCAGAGATGTCATAAAATGTTAGTTGTTCATTCCACATGTGTTGCGGGGAATTTTTACATCCCATTGTGATTGTCAATCACGTTCATCTCTCTGCTGACCAGACAGTCACGTGAGCCTCTATAAAGACTCCAGACTCTGTATCTGAGCTGCCATGCACTCTTCCCTGCTGTTATATGTGTATTCCTGCCCATTTTATTCTGAGCCTCAAATTCAACTCTCGAGTGATGACCAGTGTCGTTCAACTCCATGGTCTCCAGGTTTATTATTAAAGTTGTTCTAGACTACAAAGCGCATGAGATTTAACATTTAATATGTTAAACTATTTATATTGATGTTATACTGAAGAAGTATGTAAAACATGCATGTATCGCAGACCCAATTGTTCTAAATATGTATTGACTATCAGGAAACATCTTGCATTTTCAGAGAATTTGTCCAGGCAGCATGCAAACCTTTTTTTTTTTCTAAAAATATCGAAGACTGTGGCGGAAGCAAAACATGCCTTTAATCTGTGAAGATGTGTTTTAACCAGTTTTGTCTGAGAAGTTGATTTTTGCCATTTTCATTTCATCACTGAATATGCCAAGTGGAAATATGTTTCCAATATTTCAATTAATGGTTTTGAATGTTTATTTGTCCGTTATTGTGATAAATATGTAGTTTATTTTGACATTTTTAATTTTTTTTTTAGTTTTTACACAGGCTTTTGTCAGTCTGTTTGTTTGGGAACCTCCATGATTTAAAAATGTTGTCCTCCTTTTGGAAATCTTAGTTAAGATGAGGTTTTGCATTCTCCAGGGAATGTTACACATAGACAGATGTGTACAGTCATTTATACTAACTGTGCTAATCAATATATGATGCTAAAGATGGTTTTAAATGTCAACTTTGTAATAATTTTGTCTTGTTTTTAAGGATCAGTTACACTAATGTACATTTCCATAAAAATTTACAGGATAATTACTGTCTTCAATTGTATCTAATTATGCCATTTAATACACATTATATGTTTTAATGTTATTTTTCCTGCCTAAATAAACTGCCTGTGCAATGTGTTTTAAAACTTCTCATATTTTCTGACTTACTAAGAGAACAAATTGCAAACTCAAATTACTTTAAAGTTGTTTTTAATATGGTTACACTATTTGATATCAACCGAAGGTGGCATAATTACTTGATTACACTAAAAATGGCACTTTTTGCCAGGAAGAATACATGATATCCTCATTTAAATACTGCAGCAAATTAATTAGGATATGTTAATTGGATAATTTTCTTTTTTCTATTATTACATGGTTATAAAGAGCACAGTTTCAAAGCTCTAAAAGACTGAAGGTAGGTTTTTACCTAATGCCAAAAACATGTATAACTTAAGGTTTTTAAAAAAGATTTTTGTTGAAATCTCTTAGTCCTCAATTTTCCCATTCCAAAAAAAGCAAGTTTCACTTCAAACTAAAGCAAACTTATTGATGTGAGAAATTCTCTGAAAGTGAAGTTGTGACATAGAAGCCTGCCTGCACTGCAGAAACACAGATGAATGATTCATACAGCTTGAGCTTTGAGATTATGTTGGTAGCAATCCTTGAATAACGTTAAAGAAAAATCACAATACTGCATTTCAAGAAAAACGGATGCAGGAGTGGAGGAAGGGGGACATGACTCCGACCACATTCTGCAAATTCTGATCAAATCCAGTTAAGGTCAACTTTTTAATTTCTTCACACATTTATAAGCCTTTTTTTAATGCATAAAATGCTCCAGGGTTTAACTGCGAAAAAGTAAATAATATTTGCTACTTATCTTAAGTGCTCCAACAATCATTTAGCTTTAAAATGTAGTGTGGCCAGTTTAAAAACAAATCAGGTCCTGATGTATGCATGTGTGCGTGGGTGTGTGTGCGTGTCATAAAAAGAAAACTGCAGGACACGGAGATCTCTGGAAAAAGCTTTTTTATTGGAATATAAATATTTCAGCTGTTTGAATTTTTAAATGAAGCAAATTACTTTTGGGAAATCAGGAAGGTCATAAGGGTTCCTTTTATGCATTTCCAGAAACACACTTTCACATTTTTGATGAATATATATGCATTTATCAGACATTTACCATAGCTGGAAGTAGCTTTTCGAAAATGAAGGGCTGTCTCAGTCTGATGGAAAGTAGATCCTGATCTCTAACTGTCTCCTCGCTCTATCGCTGCCCCGTGGTTCCCGATTTCATGAGTGAGCTGGTAATAATCATGGGTGACTGAATTTTCACCTTTTTGCTGAGATCTATAAGTGAGGGCACATATGGGAATGCTTGGGGTTTAAAGTCAGATGAGTCTTTGCATCTGCTCCTCATTTCTTTATCTGCTTTTTATATGCTTCCAAGATTTAAAAAAATAAAAAATTAAATCAAAGTCAAAATTAAAGTTCATGTAGTGAAAACATAAAAGTTAGTTAGTTGTTAATGTTTGGAATCACAACTGAGTATTATAATTTCCTTTATTAAAACACTATCTGATGTCTCAGAGGGAAAGATATTTTTGTAAACTCCAAAATGCTTCAGAAATGAGTAAACTTTGTTAAAACCTGCAATCTTATAAAATGACATTCATATTTTTATTTTTTTTTAAATTTTCATTTGTCTGAGTTGAACCTAATAAAAAAAAATCCAAAACATTGTTTTCTTTTAGGATCTTAAAATATAAATATTTTGACTAACTATAATTTAAAATTTCCATTTGTTATTTTTTTGCGTTTTTTATTTGTAAGGTAACATGTAATTTTTCAATTTAACTTGGGAGCAAGGTTTCAAGAGACATTTCTTTTATTTCTTAATTTTTTGGGAAAATCATATGAATAAAATTAATTATTATGCAAATTCTCAACAATCAAACAAATGAAAAGAAATTAGATTATAACCAACAGAAAAAAAGATATAGCAAAAAAGCAACTATACACTGAAAATAATTTGTGATTAATTGAAAAGTGCTTTTGTTTGTACAGTAGAAAATTGTTTATGAAACAAACAGTAAGATGTTTTTATTTCTGCTTAATTGTTTGTTTTTTCATCATGACTTTGTCAACTTAATCATGTCTGTGTCATTATCGAGATGATCAGACTTTCAATAAACAGAAAATAATTCTTTGCAGCTGCAGCAGAATAGATTAATGTACAGACTGCGCTAACTTTGTGACCAGGAGCTGTCAAGTTTAGTTACACTTCAATATCCCAGACATCTTCCAGTTCTCATGCTGTCCTTCTGAACTCTGCAGCTGTATCTTTAAAATGTCCTCAAGGTTCACTGAGCTTGATGGAATGTTCTGGTGTAGTCAAGCGCACCCAGTCTGAGTGATCAGACCCTTTATTACTGAATCATGCAATATTCTGTATTTCAGATGGCTTGTTTTGGGAAAACTGTCTAGTCGTCTGAATGAAAGGAGAAGTACAACTGCTGAGAGGAAAAGGTGCAAGAAGCACCACCTTGACACTAATGCAATTTGAAATTGTCTGTAATGCCCAGCTTCTAAATTGGAAAAATTGACCTTGCTGGTAGAGGTGACACAAGTCTGTACTTGGAGATGGTTCACGGTCTAAGAGGATGTTGGGGAGAAAGCTGAGGCTGAGCCTGAAGGCAGAGCAAATATTTCATGAGTAATTTATTATCTAGAACATGAAAGCGTGCGCTACTCAGGATCCTGGCGCGGATATACAGTGATCTGGTCACGTAGAGAAGGAAAAAAGGAGTCAAAAGGGCAGACCAAGGAACAGTGAACATTGTACATCAACTTTCCTCCAAAGCTGTCAAAAAGATCAAGAACTTCCTCTAACCCAAAACATGTGTCTGCAGGACACATTTAATAAAGTGGCTTTAATGATGTGGGCCATGCTTTGTTACTTAATGATGTTTCGATTTTTTAGTTTTCATTATTATGAAATAATTAGGTACAGATTATTAGCAACAGTTCATTTAATGTCAATTATATTGATTATATTAAATTAAGAGTATTGACAATACACATAAAAGCTGTCAAAAAAACAAAAGTAAATTCTATTTCACTGTTGAAAACAGACTATTAAAAACATCTTAACTTAAAGCAACACAATAAAATAGATTTTTCATGTTTAATGTTTTAAGTTCAATTGAAATATTTCAATCATCTAAATAATACATGAAGAAATGAGATGCTTCTCTTCAGTCCAACACACAATATAACACAAAGGCTAAGTTGAGGATAGTGTGTATATACAGTACAGACTTAGTTTAGGGAAGGCACTTGACAGTGCATTCAGGAATCTGGTGGCTTATGTGGAGAAAAACCGTTTCCCTATTAGTATTTAACGCCTTCATGTTGCAATATTTTTTTTCAGAGGACTGCAGGAAGAGGAAGCAATGAAATGTGTGAATGGGCAACCGTCACACTTCTACATCACTGCAAGTGCAGCAGGTCATGCAAAGGTTGATTAGCTCGACAGGCAGAGAAACACCAATAGTCTTTTTACCTGTCCTCATTCTGCACTGTAGGCTCTTGTAGTACAATTCCCAAACCAGACTGTGTTACAGCTGCAAATAATTACCTCTCTAGTCCTTATGTAGAACATGGTGAGTATGAGACACAATGTGAACTCTCCTCATTTTCTTCTTAGACTGCTTCTAACTGAGGCTGCAAACTGGGTGTTGAAGGTTCTCTGTAATGGGTACCACAGAACCTCCTACACCCAAGCCAAGGTGTTATGATTACCAAAGTTGGATGTGGGTGGAGCTGACGTCAGCAGTGTGAGAAATGGATTGATCACAAAGTTGGTATCGTTTTCTTATTTGATGCTCAGTATTGAGAGTTTTGAATGCCAAACAACACCTAGGAGCAGTATTGCGGTGCAGGTGTCCTTTTCTTCCCAGGTGGATGAAGTGGAGTTTGGTGGAGGTGGCAGCTGTTGAGAGATTGAAACGATCCATTATTTGAACCCAAACACAACAGCAAATGTAACAGAGAATGACTGAAAATGAAAGACTCAACATATCTCAATGGCCCAAAGTTCAGACTTCAACCTGATTGAATTGGATGAATATGGAAAGAAGCAAAAGGGAAAATAAGGAGAATGTTGAAATCAATTCAGTCATTATCGAGAGTGCTGGAATAACGGAAGTGAAGGAAATGAGCTTGAAAGAGTGAAAAATGTGAAGGAGCAAAATTTCTGCACTGCCATAGTATAGTGAGTTGGAGAAATAAAAATGTATCCCAGGTGAACATGTGACTTTCTAGCTTTTTGATTTAGTGCGATGACAGAGGCTGCACAAAAAGGTGCAAGAGCAGAGCAGGAGGACTGGCAGTGATTTGGTAACAAAGAGTTATGTGATTCTGTCCGTCTCTAAGAAGAATTTTTTTCTCTGTCTAAATATTAACAGGTGTGAACTGTAATCCTTAAAAAGGTTTGCCGTGTTATTTTAGTCGCTACAGGTGCACTTCTGTAAATTAATATAATATTTAAAGGTTATTCCTACCACTGTTATATGAAGCCACTGAAAAACAGACATCAGAAACTTCTTAATGAGAAAAAGGACTGAAGAGTTGCTCTCTGGTCCAAAGACTCTTTTGCAGATTAGAGCAAATTTTGAATTTTGATTGGAAATCAAGATCCAAGAGTCTTTTTTTGGATCATCAGTGATCCAAGAAAGACCGCTGGCAAGAAAACTGAGCCTTTTTTATGCTAAATAAAAAAGGCACAATTTTACGATAAAGTTATAGTAAAATCATGCCAAGAATTCTTAGAGTAGATTAAAAAATAGTTTGCATGAAAATAATAAATGGCACACTCTTGTAAAATGTCATGCAAGATGTTTATTCAAAAGATTACAGGAACATGCTACTAAAAGACAAGAGACAACCCAAAAATTAAATTTTTTTTTTAAAAGTTTCTTTAAATAACCTGTTATGATGTTGCCCCTTCTAGACCCTCAATTTCTCTCTTTATCTGCTATAGTCTTACCTCACAAATCAGTTGTAGATCTTTACACACCTTCATACACGGAAAAAGATTTGTGTCCAAGTCATCAGGTGAGAAGATGGCTAACAAGTTAAAAGCTCCTGCAGATTTCAGCACATACCTTAGCCTTAGCCAAGAGAATATAACAATTCAGTGAAAGACATCCTGCTCTGGTCCAGCACTTGAAAAATCATACTCATACGTCTTTAAGGAGTATATTACGGTTGCCCTAACATATCACAGCTCCATATTGCTTTTGACTTCATCATTGGCCCCTCCAGTCAAACGAGAAAGGACCTCTCAGCACTGGCTGCAGTTTGCTTATTTCCCCTGGGCTTGGGGTTAAAGAAGTCATTCCCTATCTGCTTTATTGAAAACCTTCTTGTACAGAGAAATCAGGTCACTCTGGAATTACCATCTCTTGGTTTTTTTACCTTTTTCCTGTGCTCTAAGGAAGTGGGGAAAAGAAAAGAACCCTGCTGTGTTGTGTACAATGCATCAGAAAACTGTGGCGAATGTCTTCACAATTCACTGGATTATTTAGTACTTTCAGTGTTTTTTTTTTTCAGGAGTTGTGTGCCAAATGAGAGCACTGCAGGGATCTGTACTCAGTTTTTTTTTTTATCTACATCAACAGGAATAAGTACAACACAAGTCTTCTAAAATAAATCAATCTCAGCCATGTGTAATGCAATATCTATAAACACATTTTGACCTGCTAAAACTATTGAGCTCTCTTCTATCTGAATTTTTTATTTTATTTTTCCAAATACAACATTTCATACTTTATTTGCTTTAACAAATTCTCTCCAAGACTATTATTACAAAGTAGTAATGTAATGTGGCATTTTACTTCAGTGCTTTTGTTTTGAAAATTGAACGTACTTTATAAAACAACAAAAAAAAAAACAACATGTTTCTCAAATCCCTTTTATAGTACCAAGAATAATTTGTGACTCTTTCTCTTGTGGCATGTTCTCCAGTTCCTGAAGCAGCAAAACATTCCCTGCTCATTACACTCCCCCCACAAATGTTTGTCCGTCAGTATGATGTTTTTATTGCATCGTGTTGTGCATGTTGTGGCTATGACATCGATTTTGAATTATTTTCGGTCAGCAGTGGTATTTGCCTTAAAACTCTCCAATTGATGCCATGTTTGCGCTGTTTCTTTCTTATTGTGGAGGGAAACTGAGGGAAGTAAATATAAGTAAAATCTGATAACTAAATAAGCTTAAACATTATATCTACAATGAGTTAAAGAGAGTTAAAAGTAGGAATAACATCATAGGAGAAGGACTTTAAAAGACTGAATTGTGTCTGTATTTCAGACAAAGTTTTGAGAGCTTAGCCATGGTTATTGTATTTCTATCTCAGTTGATTTAAAAGTATGCTGCCAAATCATTCCATTGTGCAAATGTGGCCTAGCAAAATCTGCACTAAATTAACATGGTCTTGTCTGAAAAAGGCAGTCTCTAATGTTAGCATCTGCTCAAAATACATTATACATTGTTCAGCATTAAAGATGCCTTCACAGATGTGCAAGTTATCCATTCCATGTGCACTAATTCAACTCTATTCCATCACAGATGCTGGCTTTTGAACTGTGCTGTGATAACAAGACAGATGGTCATTCTTCTCCTTCCCCTGGGGGAGGGAGCATACATGATTGCCAAAAAGAATTTCAAACTTTGATTAGTGAGACCACAAGACACTTTTTCTATTTATCTCAGCCTATCATAAATTTGCTCACAACCAGAGAAGACAGCAAAGTTTCTGGAACTTGTTTATATGCCTGAATGTTTATGATAGTTCTAATTTGCAATTTCTTGGTGCAGGTATGGATAGTCTAAGAATTGTTTACTGAATGTTTACAGAGCTTAAACAATAGATTTCTCAGCTTCTTTAATTTTGTCATTTTGTGATATCCTTCCCAGATTTGTGATGCAGTAGTTCCCTTCTTTTACATTTTACAATAACTAAATATAGCAACTTTATTTAAAATGATTGAAAATTTTGTAAAAGTATAATAAAACAATCTCATGTAAATATGTATCTGCAGACTTTACCATGACACTGAAAATTGAGCTCAGCTGCATCTAATTTCTACTGATTAAGCTTGAAACATTTCTACAACCCAACTGTGGCCTGGCTGTGCTAAATTCAGTTGAGCAAATATGATTTGGAACTGAAAACACTTGTCCATACAAGGTCTCATAGTTGACAGAGGTGTCTGTGTGGAAGCCAAGCAACACAATCGAGGTAGTTGTCTGTAGACCTCTGAGACCATACGGTGTCAAAGCACAAATCTGGGAAGGATATGAAACAAACAAACAAAAAAAAAATGTGGCACTAAATGTATTATGCCTGCAATCTTTGTGGAGATAGCAAAACCACCTGGAATTTCAACCATTGCTAATGCACTCCACCAACCAGGTCTGACTCATCAGTATTGAGGGCAAGAGGACAGCAGCTAAATAATAAGTGTGCTTATAATCTGACCAAGTCAAAGATAAATTTTCAAATTAATCAATCAAGTTTATTGGTAAAATACATTTTGGCAACACAGCAATTCAAAGTGCTTTACATTGTGAAAACATAAAAAACAATATCATATAGTGAACAGTTGTGAAAACCATTAACATTTTGTCAAGTGTTGTCACTAAAGTCACCAATGCATATCAAATATGTCCCATATTTGACTACTTATAGTTGTTCAAAGGCAACTATAAAAAGGAAGTTTTAGTCTTGATTTAAAGGAACTTAATGTTTCAGCTTTTTTGCAATTTTCTGGAAGCTTATCCCAGAACTGGGGTGCACAGAAGCTAATGTTGCTTCTGTATGACTGTTTCTGTGGATGCAGAGCTGATGTTTTATGTACAGGGTTTTCCCAGCAACATGAATTTCTAATAGAATGTGAGCCTATTTCTGACACTTCTTTGTGACTTTAATTTCTAAAACTTTTTCTAAATGCAAACTTTCATTTATTTATTTTCAAAGTAAACCCCCCCCCAAAAAAACAAAACTTTTAAACTTGTGCTTTAAACAACATTGCATATAGTAGTATTTGAGGCTGTGGCATGTCGTCTTCGTAACTGTGTTTGTTCATATTATCTACAGTCGAACAATTGAAAGCTTTGTTTTTTCTAAGATGAAACATAATGTATTTATGTTCAACTACACTGATACTTCAAAAGTTACACATCTCTTGCTCTAAACGTTAATGTAATGTCTCTAACAGGAGGCATAAATTAAACCATTTCTCCATCCATTACATGTGAGGATGCATGTTCTAAGCCCGATCTGAAACTGTAAGACACCTCCTGGAAGGTGACATTATTGTCATCCATATGGACTGTGTATCACCTGCTAAAACAAATTAAGAAGTCTGCCAAAAAAAAACCCCTAAGGAAACAACAATCTCTCTGTCACTGTATGTGACTTCCAAGATAAGAGCTTTTTCTCTCTTCTCCCAAGTGGCTGATGGTGGTGGTGTGAAACTGCTGACATCAGAATCAATCTCTGTCAACACACTGTCATTTTGGTACCGCGGGGGGCACTGATGACTGCTGCCGATGCAGAGAGCTGCAGACAAAGTAACAGATCTGTCATTAAGATGGTCTAGGTGAGAAGGCGGGATGAGAATTCGCAGGTTTCCCTTTGCGTAAACCTAACAGTCATTCGTTAGGCTCAACTGTGTGTTGATAAAACTCCACTGACCCAGGTGGTTTGTAGAACAGTGGAGTTAAAATTAATTTTAAAGAGCAACTGTTTCTCATGTATGTGCCATAAAAGCTGTTTATGGCACATACATGGGTTTATGGCACATACATTTTTAATTTGTGGATGAAGAATTTTATGCGGCATTTAATGTTTTACAAATTGAAACATTAAATTGTTTTAATTAAAACATTAAATCGCTTTAATTTGTATTCAATTAAATGTAATTG